TGGTGCATCTAGTGACACTGAAAATATAAACCCAGAGGAATATCATATTGCTTTAGTAAACCATAGCCAACCTCTGTCTCGTACATTTCTAAGTCCAAAGGATCTTACAGCGTCACCAACTATTAACGTTTCATACAGCCGTCATCACTATCGTAAGTACGATGAAGATGAAGATACATTACAATCGAATCCAAGACACTGTAAAGAAGAGGAACGTTTTCCAACTATTGCACCTAAAGAGGAAGAGGAGGACACTTTGACTGGTTCGTCTAGCATTCATGAAAACCGAAGAATAACGCGAAATTCTAAGTGGGTTTACACTGTCTTTTTCTAATTTGCCGATTTGATTGCATATTATATCGCAAGTTCGACTGATAATGAACCCATAAATTGTTACACATAGATAAATTCATTTTGTAAATGGTAAATCACTTATGTAGGCTCATTTCTCTGTGTATTTGATTGATTATTTCTATCATCATATGTGACCATACAAAATAGCATTTTTACTTATTTTTCTGATATTTTGATTACTGAAATGTCAAACTGCCAAACATTGTGTGAAAAGCTTCCGTATATTTAACCAAACCGCTGATATACAATTGGACAGTCCAAGTTTCAAGCAGAGACCTTTGTAATTAGAAGTAACACTAAATAGTCTCATTCAAGTTGAAACACAATCATTAGAAATCAGAAAACTTGCAACATTAGTCAACAGAAGTGTATATGTTATGAAATTTTTTCGAAAATGGACACAAATAAGGAATAGAATGTTTAAAAACTGTAACAATGAGAATATTAGTCATAAAAAAGTACAATTACAATCACTTTTATGTAACATTTATCTATCCAAACTGCTAATGTTTTAAATTTCGTTGCCAGTATATCAGATTTTGATTATTCATGTTATCTCCTATAGAATGCTTTCTGGGCCTTCTGCTGATGTGTTACATAGTGGACTTACAAACGATATGCAATCACTTGCTGCAGTTGCTCAAAAAAGGTCTTCAGTGCATCTCGATCAAAGCATTGTTGGTAAACGCCCAGTAGATATTCAAAGTTTCACTGACTTTCCTCATTTGAATTCGTCTGATGGTACGTATCTACATTATATATATATATATATATATATATATATATATATATATATATATATATATATATAGTTGTTTTATGCTGTTATCTCTCAGATAGTTTTTTTTCCTTTTGTGAAATGGTTGTACACTGATGCCACGGAATTGTCTTAAATAGCTGTAAAAATTTATCTTTACATCAAGAAGTTTAAGTATACTTTTTAAGGAAAAAAGTATGCACTACCCCAATGTGGTAACCACCATTTTGTTGATGTGGTGTGTGGTGCAAACGATCTGATGACTGTGGGCATTAATGGATATATGTGTGTGATATACCTTTGTAAATCAGTAGTTTAATTCAGTCGACTCGTGGTTACCAGGACACATATCACAGAACTTCACATCAACTACTTCGATTTTACAAAGTGTGTAGGGTAAGTGACTGGCAAACATGTAACGAAATCAAATTACATTTATAAGTTTAATCAATTTATACTTTACTTTTTATTGTTTACAAAGGTGTTTTTTCTCCAAATAAACGAATTAAGCGTGGTGGTGTAAAACATGAAGGATGAAGTTAATTACAATACCTATGGTTCGTTTACATGGAATTATATTTAGATATATGGACTTTTTGCTGAGAACAGTTAACTTTATTGTTTTTTGTCTGTTATTCGTCTTTTAATGAACCTCCTTTAATTTTGCCTCATTTATTACGTGTTTATTGTTTATTCCTGTCGTTTCAAACAACTTGCTAAATTTTCAAAGATTCATTACTTCAGTAATCTTTCTCTCTAATGATTTCAGTCACCAAGTGATTGTTTTTACTAATTTGTTTTATAAATATTCAGAATGTTATAAATTTAACATTTTAAGTTATATGTTTTTCAACTATGTATCATGAAGCATGTTCTGAAAGAGATTTGGTTAATTATCTTTAATTCTGTTTTTATGTATATAAATAATGTTAATATTAGGCAGAACTTTGATCACTATGTAATATGTATATGACTAATTAATCCGATTAAAATCCTATGTAAAAACTTTTATAGCACTATTTATTTGGATTAAGCAGGTTTTTATTCCACACAGTACATTCGGTACTTCTAAAGGCTAACTAATTAAAGTTAACATTTATTTCAACTTTCCTATAATCGTATTAACAGGGAGTTTCAGAAAGTATAACACTTATGCTTGCAACACTCCAACTCCGCCACCCGAACAAAAGAGGGTTGGGCATGGGGCTAGGAATCCCATCCCATAGGAAAAGACCTTGCTAATGCTAACCAGGAAAAACCATTTAAACTCTGTCAAAGGATCTTCATTTATGAGTTATGTCACGTAATGAAGCTGGGATTTGTCGGAAGTCACAAGGCTGATGCTCCTTTTAAAAACCAGAACAATTAACGCAGGCACATGGATCGTCCGGACAATGTGGGAAACCGGGAAAATTAATCAAATAGATGCGAAACTGAAGGGATACAACTTCGCGGTGATAAGTGAAACCCATTGGACGCAAATAAGTGGGTAAAGTTTTGACACTCAACCACCACAGGTGACCTACTTACCTGACTTAAGCACTGAATACTCATTCCCATATTTGTGGGCACTCATCTATCTTAAATTATTTTATTTCTAATTAAAAATCCCAGATGTAAATATACTAATAACCTATCATATAGCATCACTATGTTTGCTCTTATTCTGAAAACAAGCAGTCAGGTGGAACATAGGTATCTTTTCAGTAATCTTAAACCTATATGATCTTCATCTGCGAGTTGGAAAGGGTTTACCATGAATTGAAATAAGATTAAACTGTATGAATTTTCTGCACATTTAGGAAACCAGCAGATGTTTATTTTGTGATATGAGAAGAATCAGAGTGTAAGTGTCACGATCCACTGTATGATCTACAAGAACAAAGTTCACTTCGCAAACTTTCAAATATTGTTTTTAAATTGTCCACTCATTTAGTCCATTGGGTGGTTTGTTTGTAGAAACAGTGTACTGTTGATCTGAGAGATTTTTTTGTAGTCGACCAGCTAAAATAAAGTGCTTATGTTTAAACTGTCGAGTTACTTTCAACTCATCGAATTAAACTGACATTGTCCTAACTGCCAGTATCACTCGCCACTTCTTACGACGGAGGTATAAGGCTAGGACGTGCATATTTAACGATCAGCTCTGTTAGATTTTTTGGATGACCGACGGTTACTCACAAAAATATTGAACCAGTATTCCAAATAAATAAACAGAAGACACAATAGCTGGTTAATAAGTCTGTCCAACAAAATATGACGCTCATATTTACCTGCTATGTAGCACAAAAATAAACATTAAAAGTTGTTCAGCATATAAATGGTTGTAAATTACTGACTAGACCGTTTACTAGCTAATGAAACGATCCTAGATATCAGGTTGATTTGTTCTGCACGTCACCTTTTCTAAATCAGGTTCAATGTTCTATGTAAGTATATGCAAAACGTCTTTGTCAGTGGTTTCCCGTTCACTGACTTCATTGCAGTTATGAAAACTTGGAACATAGTACAAAGAAGAATAAAGTCAATTCGGTGATTAAGATAATGAACCGCCCAATGTTACATCAACATTGAAAACCTGGACGGCCATTTCGCCCTAGTTTGGGACTCACCGAAGACAGTCGTGCAATATCGTGGGTTGACTGAAGTTGGACATTACCACCGTTGGAGGCCGGCTAGGCGTGAGACGGAAGATCCTGGGCCCGGCTCCTGCGTGCGGGTCCGTGGATGCGCACTGCTGAGTCTCATATTATGACGAAGCACCCGTCCAGTGCTTCCAGGTTTATGATCTCAATCAAGACTCAACAATCTCCAGAACCCTATATTGAAGATGTTATTTTTGACGGTTCCATTGAGTTGAGCTGTACAATCGTATTTCCTAAAAATAATAGTCTGTAGTAAAATAGAACAGTGAAGTGGTATCGTGTCCTGAGTTGAATACAAAAATCAGATATTAGAAGCAAGTTGTGAAATTATCGGCTAATGAAAAGTGTTGAAGTGAAGATACTTAATCATTTACATATTAAGGGCAGAATGATCAAGTTGTAACGATGACAAATCAGTTGTAGGAAAGGACTAGGCAGCAAGTGATTGGTTATGAAAGATAGATAGGAGGGTTAAGTAAATAGTCCAGCAATAGGTGGACGTACTGTTTTTATGCATAAGGGTTAGGCCTGGATTGGTGGGTAGCTATAGTCTCTACCATATATATGCCCTGTGTTTTCCTCTTGAGCTGATTTCTCTGACTGTATAAACGGTTTTCAAGAAGGATCCTAGTTTAAGAATTAATTAAGTGTTCTTCATTGCAATAAGGACTGGATTTAGCTAAACTTCATTGAAATTCCGTCAATCTGATGTTCGAACTTCTGTTATGGAGGAAATCTTGTGGTCCAGTAAATTACAGAACTTATTCCAATGATCTGTTTGTAAAGTCGCACTTTTATTTATCCTGACCAATTACCAATTGATTATTTGTTCTCTATAGGAGGCCAAATTCAGTAGATATTTATTTCGTATTCAACAATCAAGAAAGTTTATCATATATGAAAACATGCCTATTATATACATGTCCATTCACAGTGTGTGATAAAAATTTTAAATCATACAACGCTTATGTGATGAGTATCCAGACATCAGGTAGACAAAACTAGACAGTTACTTTACATTTAAAGCTTCAACGAAGTACTAAGGGGAAAATAAACAAGGGATTACGCAAAAACGCTAATTATATTTAACCTGTTTATTACTAAAGAGACATTTACAAAAAACTAAAAATATAATATTATTAAGCTAGTGACGTCCATAATATTACAGGGACAAATATCATGTTTTGTTAAAATGTTTCACAGCCAATATTATTGAATGTAAATTTCATCATTTACTGGTCGATTCATGCAGGAACTATTGAAGAAAGAACATAGAATAGATGACGCAATTCTTCATTAGTTAAATCACAATTCAATGCAATACGAATACTTGGAGGTGGAGCAGGGAAATTTATACTATACGTATATCTGAAAAAAGACGATTTAATAAAAGATTAACAAGGTTGTCAGTAATGCAGTAACATGAAGCTAGACCTAACTATTGAGTAATTGATTTGAAATTAATTTAGAATCTTAACAATTTAAAGCTCAAACAAGTTAATTGACATTCTGGCATGATGCCGAAGATAATAGTGAATCAGTTTGCTATAATGCAAATGGAGGTAGTTGTAATTTTACTTTTTTGAACGCTTCGGTTTGAACGTTCGAGTACTATTCCAACCCACAAAGAAATATGTCGATGCCTAATCATGGGGAAACCGCTCCATTCGTTCCACTTTGCTACCTTGTTAAACAATACCTACATTGATTCTACTACACAAGAATTTCATTTACTTTTTCAATTTTCTACTTGATTGTATCTATCCTTTGGGTGTACTATTATTTTCCAGATTGTTTAACACTTCGTCTGTGTTAAATGTCCCGTCATATCTAAACAACTTCAGGTTGATGAGTGCTCGTATTTCTCAATTGTAATATCAATCATATTTGAATCAGCGTCTGCGAGGCAAAGTGTACGACTTAATCTGGCATACCTCAATGTTCTCATACGGAAGCAGGTTTTATTTCGTTTCCAGGAAGTCTTAATTCTGATGCATAGTTTACTTCCAAGACTCTTCTAACCCTATGGGACTAATGTCTGATTTCGGTGTCGCAGCAGGCGGCAGGGTAAAGGTCATACTAGTCGAGCGGGTCCCCATTGTCAGTCGTGTGTCCTGTTTGATTACAAAACACCACCAAAGTGGATAGAAATTGGCATGTGGGACGATGTCGTTTCGTGATCCTCGACTACGTCTCCACGGATTGCAGCCCAGATGCGATCGAGGATGAGTTCCATCATCAAATAAACGATGTCAGTGAAGCACGTTCGACAGAAATTGTAGTACTAACCGGGGATTCGAAGCACAGGTCGACCGTCTATACACAGAGTAGAGCCGCTTGGTAGCCAACAGGGACTCGTTGTTTCCATGTCAGAAAGGGGTGATTGTCTCTTTGAGCTTTGCGGAGGTCACAACCTGTTTCTTCCCAGTACCAATTTTCAATGCAGTAGTCACCGATATTGTTGCACTGTTGCCCAATTTCACTCGTCCTCTTCGACTTTTTCATCGATATTTGGAAACAGCAACGAACGAGGCAGTTGAAAGGGTTGAGAATCTAGATATTTATGTGAGTGTTGATGGTGACGTAACTGATGAGGTCACTCTGCGTTTAGTAAAAGCCAGAGTGGTCTACGACAATCTGAAACACCTTTGGCTCCTTCATGATACTAGTCTGGCTTTAGAAGATCGGATCTATACCACGTCGAGTGGGAGTAGTTTGCTTTATACTTGCGAAACCTGGCATCTCCGAGCTGAGAATATTCGCAACTCTCTATGTCCGATCATTGCTCTCGCTTAAGGATTGCTGATTTCTAGTGGCAACACCGTGTTAGTAATGCTGAGATATGAGAAGTGTGTTTGACCTCGGTGACAACAATTAGTGTCACCACTTTGAAACACTCGCTTCGGTGGCTTAGGCATGTGTACGAACGCCATTCTATACTGTGCATTATTTGCCGAACCTGGGACGGGGTGAAAAGAGAGAAGGTAGTCAGTGTGTGACATGAAGCTACGGGATGGAATTTGCCTAGTGCTGACATATGTTTGTTTCTCACAACTCCCTAGTTTGAGTCTTAAACACCATACAACTCAATGGTTTGAAACGTTATTTGAGAAGGCCAAAAGTAATAACCAGTGGGGATTTTGCTTTAGTATTATCATTTTTTAAAATAGTTTGAGGAGCATTCTTGACTGAGAGGTTTCTGGTTGCATTTTCAACTGGACTGCACATCATGCTATGTACTATTCTTGTTCTCTTACTATAAACTGCCGCAATATCTTTGCACAAAAAATCTTTGGATATTAGCTATAACATTAGGAATAAATATGATATGAATTAGCGTGCAACTAAGCATTACTAACCTTGATACTGTCAACAATAAAGGAGGTGCTTTCAAATTTCGCTCATCAGTCCAATCAAAAGCAGTTTGGACAACAGCCTCAAGTTTACCTAAAGTATTATTTTCTCTGAATCTTAAGTGTTTTAACGGACTATCCGGATGACCATATAGTTTCCAAATACTGGTTAACTTGCTGTTCGAATGAAACAAATTGTCAGTTAATCTGGATAATTCCAATAACCGTTGATTACGTTTGCCATTTTCCTTAGGCGATTGCAGTTTAGAAATTGCTGTACATGCAGCTTTAGCTAACATTGGTGGTAGAGAAGCTGAAAAACAATATGCTTGTCCAGAGAGTTCTTGATGACCAACAACATACTGCGATCCAGCACAAAATCCTCCACATACCCCTAAAGCAGTTTCCAACGAACCTATTAGGTAAACAAAACAACTCCTTAGGTGTAGTGTGGAAACTATGGAGTGAGAAGTCGCATAATTGTAGCAAGATAACTTACATACATCCTCAACTCCAAGCTGACGGTCATAATATTAACGGTTAACAATAATAACACAGAAGTCTCGTTGATTATTACTAATATAATCCAAGTCCTTGAAAAATTCAACCTTCGTAAATTCTGTACTAGTCACCAAATATTTGTAATAATACACTTGATGAATCGTTATAAATTGGTTCGCCTGCTTCATAGTATCAGTTTCAAATTCACTTATCCAGTTGACTAATACAACCTGATTAATTAGTTCTAACGACTTTTAATCTTGTAAGCTGATACTTCTATTTACTAATCCCCATTATACACACGGATAAGTTGGTTAATCTTTAAGTAGTTTATTTATTTAGTTTAAAATGTTAAATTTCGAACGGTTTCGAGAAACGAACAGAAGCGCGTTAGAACATGCGAATAACTGGTTGAAAATCAAGTCACCACTTCAGTGATGATAATAATAAAATATCGAAACAATATATTTAGATTAATCCAAATATGACAAATTTGCATGAATGAAAATCAAATTTTTAAGAAAACCTAATACATAAAGACTACCTGAAATAAATTTGGCACAGCATTTAGTAGAGTTACGAGAATGAATTTTGTTGAAGTGGTAGAGTTCTAACTCAATTATTCATAACACATATCAAACTGAATCACTATTCTCATACACTTCAAAAATCGAGTAGTAAAAATTATCTGGATCAAACTATTTTACGGTTGCTAAATCACCATGATAAACTGTCAGGTAATCACGCCACAACAGTCGTGGTTCACGGCTGATATTTATCAATCAATGCATGCAATATAATCGAGTAGTTAAGTAATTTAGTGTAGGAGGTAAAAACCTTGACCTTTGCTTTACTAAATCAACAATCTCCAGCCAATCAGAACATTATTATTGTGCATTAACTAAATAAGTATGTAATCGCAGATAAAACAATCAATGAAAAAAGCGGTACAACCGAAGAAATGAGAATTAAAAACACAAGCTTACCTGAGATTAAGTCAATGTCTTCTATATTAACACCAAAATATTCCGTTACACCCCTACCAGTCTTACCTAATACTCCAAAAGAAATGGTCTCATCTAACAAAATGCGAACTTTGTATTTATATTTTAAAGCAATAAGCTCAGATAAGGGACAAATTTCTCCAGAATTGAAATAAATACCTTCAACAACAAAAAATCGGCGAGTTAGTAATGCACGCTTAGGATCTTCTTTATCTCTTTTTGCCTGTGCTATCAGTAATTGTTCCAAATGTTCCATATCATTATGACGGAAAAATCGAACATGACTTCTAGATGCCACTAAGCCTAGATACGTAGCATGGTTGATACCTTCATCCGCAAATATTACATCAGTTCGTTTGGAATAGGATGGGATAGCACTAGAAAATGTAGCTGCTCCATAAGAATAAATTACTGCTTTTTCAACACCGAGGAATTCAGCCAACTTATTTTCCAATTCAAGATGAACATCAAAAGTACCATAGAATCCTCTTGGTCCACATGATCCAACACCATATTTTTTCAGCTGCTCAGTAGCGACATTAGACAAATCCGAATCCCCAACAAAGTTTAAGAAATTTAATGTTGCGAAATTAAGATGATTCTTACTAACATTGTTTTCAGTAGCTCCAAACTCTTCCACTTCTAAATTGAAATTGACATATCTGGAAAAAACAACAGAGGAAAATGAATTTGTAGAATCATTGATATTGATGACATGTTACAAAATGCTAAATCGGACACAGAGAAATCAATAAATCTCTTTATCGCATGAAATAAAATTCAAGATTAGTAAGAGGAAAGTATTCAGAAAGTTTGTCTTCGAAAATACAAATATTTCCTGACGATTATTTAAGCGGTAGTAAGACAAACAATAGCAGTCAAAGCTAAATGTTAATCTACTCAATCATATACAAAAACTCACAATAAAGATTGGGTACACTCACATGGTTCTAACAATTACGTAGAATTAATTTGAATTTCGACGGAGGATATTACATTTCATAACTGTAAATGCTCATCACTAACTGGTTTTTGAGTAGCATCGAAGTTAAACACAACACCTTTTGAGTGGAACATAGTGGCACTAGATAACCAACCTGTAGATGATGCAAAAAGCTAACAGGAAAACGTGGCTTCATTTACCCTTTCAGGTATTATTCCCGCTTACTAGGAACTTCAGACAAGTAGATAGGAAGTTTAAAACGAAACTAAGGGCAATATTTGTGTATTTTATAATTTAGACATCATTGACATCTGCAAGAATGCGAAAATACATAAAAAGCAAAACAACATACTGAATTTATTTTCTTGTAGTCGACTAGGTATTGATCAGAACGATAACCGAATGTAGATGTATTTAGCCCCCAAATGCCCTGGTATGGCCAAGAGCGGGGTTGGTTCGCCCTCCTCGAAATACTCTCACACAGCCACGCGTATACAGCCTCTGCCAGGGAAGTCCTACTCATCGCCTTCTCGTGGCGGGGGTGTTGTTTACGAAAATGAGAGCACGAAAAGAGAATGTCCGGCGCTTTAACCGGACCCCAAACCAATGGTGCACATGGGCTCCAGTATCCTGCGGGAACAAATGGCGTATGAACCAATCGTTGGTCACCGGCTACCATGGGACTGCATCTCCTTACGATGCTCCACTGCCTTGTGGGTTAGACCTTTAGGTCAAAGGCTCGAAGTGTGGCCCCCCAATATAACCACCTGCTTCGGTCTGGGCACCCGGGCAGTATCACAGCCCACACACAAATATGATGGACTGCCTATAATTATAGAAACTACTTTACTCGCTTCAACCAACAATCAAATTATTATTATTATTATTATTATTATTATTATTATTATTATTATTATTATTATCATTTACCATATTATCCACCCTCTTTTATACTTATACAGCGGCACGTCTTTGGTGGAAATTCGACTCTATCTAAACGTTCTCGAGTCACTGTCCGGTTGAAAATTGTATGTTCCCACCGAATGAGTACTGAAGCAGTTTTTCTGAAACCACGTGCACCATTCAAACTGGCTGCCTTCAACGTTCGCACACTTATGCAGGTTGGACAACAGATAGGGCTGACTATGTCTTTGGAAAGCCTTAATATCGATGTTTGTTGTCTATCCGAGACCCGTATTCAAGACTCTGGTGAAGTACTACAAATTCGCTCTCTATCTGTCGCTTCAAAAAGCTTGTTTTACGTGCGCTTATCCGGGGACTCTGTGGCATCTTTGTCTGGTCTTGCTCGCCTTGGTGTCGCACTAAGCGCTAGAGCTGAGGCAGCACTAATCGATTGGATCCCCATTAACAGTCGGTTATGTGCTGTTAGATTAGAAAGTTCCATCAAAGCGAGAGGAAATCGACGTGAGAAACGATGTCTTTTCGTCATCTCCGCCTATGCCACGACAGATTGCAGCCTGGATGCAATCAAGGATGAATTCTATCACCAGTTAACTGTTTTTCTCCAGAAAGTGCGTTCGACAATTATTGTAGTACTAGCCGGAATCTTGAATGCTCAGGTCAGGCATCTAGACACAGAAGAGTCGTTTAGGTGGCCGATGCGAACTTCTTGGTCGCAGGACAGATAACGGGGACCGTCTACTGCAACTGTGCACAGACCACAACCTGTTTCTGGCTAGCACTAACTTTCGGCACAGTCATCGCCGATGTGCCACCTGGCGTCCTCCCTCTACATCTCAAGCCTGGATTCAGATTGATCACATCGCGATTAGCTACCGCTGGCGTGGTTGTGTACAAGATTGCCGCTCCTTTCGGAGCACCTATCTGGACTCTGACCATGCCTTGGTCTGCGCCAATCTTGCCTTACTTTTCAGTGGACAACGAAGTGACCTCCAACAACGGATTGATGTTAGCAAGCTGGTTGCAACTTCTGTTGCAAGTAAGTATCGAACCGGGCTAGTTTCTAGGCTAGCTACCATTCCACCGAAAAGTATAGATGAGCATTGGTCGCAATTGCATGACGCCATGAAAATGGCGTGCTAATGAGCTGGAAGCAGCAGCTGCATCTGGTAACTGCCGGAAGCTCTTCCAACTCATCCGAGCCACTGGCAGCAAGAAGTCTGGTGTGAGTGAAACAATCTGCGAGGATGACGGGATGCCAATCACTAACATCCATCGACGTCTTGGACGATGGGTAGAATTTTTCGAAGGGCAGTTCAACTGACCTGCTGCTTCGGCAACATCGGTCAGACTGTCCTGCCCTCCATGGCCGGTGACGACTGATCCAACAAATGAGGCAGAAGTCCGCAAGGAACTCCAATTCTTGAAGCGTTACAAATCACCTGGCCTAGATGACTTACCTTCGGCTCTTTTTAAAGATGGTGGTGACTTTCTGACTAAGGAATTGACGACGTTGTTTACAAAGGTTTGGAAACTAGAGAGTCGATAGTTGTCCCTATCTCTAAAAACGGTTCACGTCGTTCCTGTTACAACTATCGGAGGATAAGTCTACTTCCGATTGCGTCCAAGCTATTGGCTTCCGTCATACTTCGTAGGTTGTTCAAAACCCGAGAAAGATTGACTCAAGAGGAGCAGGCTGGGTTTCGTTCTGGTCGAGGATGTATTGATCATATCTTCACCCTCCGCCAAATGTTAGAACGCCGTCATACTTATCAAAGGCCAACAATCGTAGTGTTTCTTGACATCAGGGCTGCCTGCGATTCGTTGGATAGGACTGTTCTCTGGGATAATCTATCGAAGAAGGGTGTGTCTGAGAAGTTTATTAACATCTTAAAAGCCCTATATACAAACACCTCAGGCAGAGTGGGGGCATACAACCACCTCTCTCCATTGTTCTATTCGAGCAGTGGGGTTAGACAGGGTTGCCCAATCTCACCATTCCTCTTCAACTTTCCCATCGACGACATTCTGGGAACAGCTCTGATGGATGTAAGTAATGGCGGTGTAGATCTGTTGCCCGGAGAAAGACTCCTCGACCTTGAGTATGCGGACGATATTGTCTTACTGTGCGATAATGCCCAAGCCATGCAATCCGCACTTAATCAGTTGGCAATCAGTGTCCGTAGGTATGGTATGTGCTTTGCACCTTCGAAGTGCAAAGTACTTCTACAAGACTGGCAGGACTCTAATCCTGTACTCACCCTGGATGGTGAGCAGATAGAAGTAGTCGAGAAGTTCGTGTATCTAGGTAGCTGCATAAGTGCTGGTGGTAGTGTGAGTGATGAGATCAATGCATGAATAGTGAAAGCCAGAGCGGCTTATGCCAATCTGTGCCATCTTCGGCACCTTCGTGATGTCAGTCTGGCTGTAAAAGGTCGGATCTACAACGCGTCGGTGAGAGCAGTTTTGCTCTATGCTTGTGAAACCTGGCCTCTCCGAGTTGAGGATGTTGGACGACTCTATGTGTTCGACCATCGTTGTCTCCGAAGGATTGCTGACATCCAGTGGCAACACTATGTTAGTAATGCAGAGGTCCGACATCGTGTGTTCGGGCACAGAGATGATGATGCAATTGGTGTCACCATCTTGAAACACCGACTTCGGTGGCTTGGACATGTTCTACAAATGTCGTCCCAGAGAATTTCACGTCGTGCATTATTTGCCGACGCTGGGACTGGTTGGAAAAAGCGGAGAGGTGGTCAGTGCATGACATGGTGTCGTAGCATGAAAGAAAGCTACAAAGGACTGGCTTGTGTTGGTCCTTCACGACTCCCTGGTTGGGGTCCGAGAGATGGTGTAACACAGTGGCTAGAGACGTTATCAGATATGGCTCAGAATAGAAGCCAGTGGCGATCCTGCTGTAACCTTCTTTTACTTTCTCCGTAAAAGGTGGTTGTGTCTCCCTAAACTGAAAGATTTCTTCTGATTGTACCTTTCCGTTTCCCTATTATTACCATTATTATTATTATACTACCTTATACCAATCTCTTCGTTATTGTTCTCTTTTTTTACGCTCCTTACCTTTTTTCTCTTCGAATTCTCATTGTTTTGTGTGGCGCAAATTTATTTGGCGCACTCTTGTATCAATGTTTATGTGTTCAAATATATAGTAAATAAATAAATAATAAATTACCATTAAATTTTCTGGGAAAATCGAAATCGCTGTGATTAAAATTTATTTCGAATAAATAAGAACTTTTCACAGAACCAAATGTTTTATTATTAACTGAAGCCTTAGGAACGACTGTGAAAAAAGGCTGCGAAAATGAGAATATTACGTCACACTATTTTACTCTATCTCAAAACAGAAACGATACATGGGATGAGAAGAGCTAAGGTATTCGTATACATATTAAAGATATGAAGATAAAGTTTTAAGTGAAGGGCATGAATAGGGATAGATTTCTACGCCTTTCAAAATATGGCACATAGAGACATTATTAATCTACCATGTTAATCCTGACGTCTGTGCATATAAAGGATACATTATGTTTTGGTTGTTTTATACTAATACGACTCCAAACATAATTCTTTGTATTCATGGATGGTTTTAAGTGGAATTTCTCATATGTAGTAACGATTAGTAGTTTGTTCCACAGATTAGTGGAACAGCTGTACCCAAGAAAAGTTTAGGTATTTTATTTTACCCTCGAAACAACTTTGGAACACATAGATGTCTTCTGTTCGTAAATACTGATCATTAATACTATTTTATTTGGATGTGCATAGGTCCTTATTCTTTGTCTGACAATCAAATAACAATGTTACAGAAGTAGGTGATAAGCTAAAAAAATATTACTTACTTGCCAAGAGGACCATTAGCACATCTGTGGAATTGTTTTAATAGATATTTTGATGGTTCCCAATCTTTCGGAACCAAACTATCGGGTTTCCATTCATTGATCAGTTGATTTTTCTCCTCCACACTTAGATTGATTACATCATTAATACGATAACTGCGTTTAAACAACAACCATATGATACCAATAATTAGTAGCAATTCAAAATACAAATGATATGTAGGAGCCTTAAGTGCACTGTAAATTAGACGAGTCCAAGTATACTCAGACTGCGGTCCTAAACGTATAATTAGAGAAAATTTTTTGTCTTACCGATTTGAGCAAGAAAGTGTGTGATAAATTTCATTACCATTATTTGTGTTTTTTATAGATCCATCTAGGTACCTTCCTGGAAAGTGCAAAGATAAGTTGTTAGTCCACAGCGTATAAGAAACGTGACGAACTAAAACTTAGACATAAAATGGAAGTAAGCATGATAAGAAATAAGTTAGTCTAAATGCTTTTGACGAGTATGACCAATAAAATTGTAAATGACACACGTCCATAATGTCCGTTTTACAGCGTAAGATGATCAGATAACAACATTGATAAACTTTTTTGACTTTCCACTAGTTTATTTAGCTTTTTCATGATAGACTATCACAGAAAAATCCAACTACCAATCCCATTTTGACTCCATATATTATAAGGGAAATCTATTAATATTCCTTAAAGTTTAAAACAATTAGTCCCTTTGATAAATTTCGATAATGCAATGAGAAGACGTAGTTTATCAGAATTATGTGATATATTTGCGCAATACATTTCGAACAATCTGATCACACATATACTTGTTAAGAACATTTATATATGAAAAATTAAAAGGTCAACTAGACAGGTTAAGGGTAAGTCATAACAAAGGAAAAATATTAAAGTACACAAAAACAAATGTGATTACCACTCTGGACCTTTTAATTTTTCATATATAAATGTTCTTAACAAGTATATGTGTGATCAGATTGTTCGAAATGTATTGCGCAAATATATCACATAATTCTGATAAACTACGTCTTCTCATTGCATTATCGAAATTCCTTAAAGTATTTAACTAATCCTGTTAGTTATCCATTAGCAACAGAGTAATTAATTTGCTGAGATCTTACAAATGAAGAAATACACCTTTTAACAGTTGAGATCATGAGTCAATTGAAGCTAGACCACCATAAAAAACCTGGAAGCACTGGATGCCGTTCCGTCATATTGCGGGACTCCTCAGCAGTGCGCATCCACGACCTCGCCTCGCGAGATTCAAACCCAGAACCTGTCGGTCTCGCGCGCGAACGCTTAGCCTCTAAACCACTGAGCCGGCATACAACGGTGTCAATGTCTAACCTTAACTAATCCACGAAATTTAGTGACACATCCACCATTGTCATCAGTGAATTACTATCTCACAACAGACCTGGTTGAACTCCACTGGTCACGGCTTCTCACTAGAACTCCAGGAAATACCTCTTGGAGTCAATCACTAGTGAGTATAAGTTGATTGTTATCAGAAGGGGTCGACCCTAAAAATGCACACCTCACCTTACCTCACGGATTTCCGTCTCCGGTGGTAAGGCTCCTTGAAGAACGGAGCTAACACGTCAAAAACCTTCCACAAAAAGGCCGTGCGTGACCGGCCTCAAGCAGTTGTCCCTTGGGCTCTGCGGTCACGCTCCCAGGTTGTCAAGACCAACACTAATCCAATTTCCTTTTCAGGTTCCTCAAGAAATACCCTTCCACGGTGTGGGCAGCCGGGAAGTGACATCAGCCCTCATACCCATAACAGCACAAGAGACCAAGGTGGTCACATTCAAATCCTTCCTACACCTCCTAATACCTCTCTTATCCTCCCGACTAACCCTCCTCACGTCTCTTTATCACCTCGCACCGCTAGGGCAAACGATTCGAGTACGTGGAACGCCATTCCTGGTCTCCTGAAACCACGCTCTAAACTACACGTAGGAGCTTTTAACGTACGAACACTTTGCCAAATAGGACAGCAGGCTTCCTTAGCTAAAACTTTAGAATCTCGCGCCATCGATGTGTGCTGCGTCTCCGAAACGCGCATACAGGATCCAAGTAGCGTCATTCATTTGACCTCACCATGCCAAAATAAAGAACCGACTCGATTTACGCTTCGTGTATCTGGAAGCCCTGATTCTGCTTCCCGTGGCCTCGCTGGCGTAGGTATAGCATTGAGTCCTAGGGCAGAACTAGCCCTCTTAGAGTGGATCCCAGTAAACAGTCGTTTGTGCGCTGTCCGACTGAACGGAACAGTAAGAATCCGGAAAGATAGGGACACTCGTCGTTGCCTCTTCGTCGTCTCTGCCTATTCTCCCACTGACTGCAGCTCAGATGATGTAAAAGATGAGTTTTACAGAAAGCTTTCGGACCTTCTCCGAAAAGCTAAGCGCTCGGATGTAGTAATAGTGGCCGGTGACTTTAATGCTCAAGTAGGTAAACTAAGCGATAAGGAAAGACACCTAGGTGGATCCTATGGTGTCGTGGCTCAAAGAACAGATAATGGCGACCGTCTGTTGCAGCTATGCTCAGATAACCGCCTGTTCCTTGCAAATACTAACTTTAAGAATAAGGAAAAACATCTTTTGACATGGCGACCCCCTAATTCGTCCCAACGTTGGACCCAAATAGATCACATCGCTATCAGCCACCGATGGAGGGGCTCGATAGAAGACTGTCGCTCATTCTGGAGCACATGCCTAGATTCAGATCATGCTCTAGTGCGAGCGCGTATTTGCTTGCGTCTTACTGGACGTAGGAAAGATCCTGCAAGGAAACCTCTTAGGGCCCTACTTAATGATAGTCAAGCTAAGAGTATATTTCAGGAACAACTAGGAAAACAGTTAGGCAGCCATGTATGTGATGCCCACCCCGAGGCAGCATGGAATGATATCCGAAAAGCTGTGGAAACAGCAGTGATATCTGCTAGTACGGTAAACCAGAAGGTTAGGGAGAAACACTGGATTGCAGCAGCATTTATCGCACTGATAGATGTTCGAGAACTCATTCCATCTGGCTCCGAACATAACGAAGAGCGGAGTCAGCTTAAGCGCAAGTTGACAAGAAGTCTACGCAATGATCGCGAACAGTGGTGGGTAGCGAAAGCAAGAGAGATGGAAAAGGCAACGGCAATAGGTAATAGCAGACAATTGTTCAGACTTGTTAAGGAAAGTGGTATTAGGAACCCGACCGTTAGCGAAAGTATTTCCGAAAAAGATGGACATACATTCTCAATCCAGGAGATTGGATCGATGGGCAGAACACTAGGGATCAATCCAACTGGCCTTCGGCCACACTTCGGTTTCCCACGATCATTAGTCGACATGAATGGCAAGTTGATGTAAGTCATTCAACTCTTTACAAAGTTGAAAAAGCTATAGGAAATCTGAAGCGTGAAAGAACATCAGGCCCTGACAGCTTTATCACTGAAATTTTTAAGGATAGCAGTTCAGTATTAGCAGTGAGGTTGACTGAATCCTTAGGTAGAATCTGGGAACTGGACGTAATCCCATCTGACTGGTCTCAATCACTGATTGTGCCAGTTTTTAAGAAAGGACAAAAGTCCTCTTGTGACAATCACAGAGGAATCAGTTTGACTAATATAGTGTCTAAAATATTAGCTTCAATATTACTTCGACGCCTAACTAAAGCTCGTGAAGTGCAGACTAGAGAAAACCAGGCTGGTTTTCGACCTGGACGTGGTTGTATAGATCAGATATTCACACTACGTCAGGTTCTAGAACACAGACACACATTCAGACGCCCCACAATCGTAGTATTTCTCGACCTTAAGGCGGCATTCGACTCTATTGATCGTGAGGTTCTATGGCAGTGTTTGTCACTGAAAGGAGTACCAAAGAAGTACATTAACCTTATAAAGGCTCTCTACTCGAACACAACTGGTAGAGTGAGAGCTTATGGCGAACTGTCATCAGAATTGATCACCTTAAGTGGTGTTCGTCAGGGCTGTCCACTCTCCGCATTCTTGTTCAACTTTGTCATTGACGTACTTTTAGAGATAACACTCTCCTCATCTAAATATACATGGGCTGAACTCCTACCAGGAGGTTCACTTGTTGACTTAGAATATGCAGATGACATAGTTTTATTTGGTGAAGACGCTGACAAAATGCAGAGTCTTCTGACCACTCTAAGCAACAATGCAAGCATGTTCGGGATGCGATTCTCCCCCTCGAAATTCAAAATGTTGCTTCAGGATTGGGTTACATCGACACCCGAACTAGTGATAGGGAGTGAAGTAGTTGAGTGTGTCGACCGCTTCACTTATCTTGGAAGTCTCATCAACCCTTGTGGTTTAGTGTGTGACGAAATCTCAGCACGGATACAGAAGGCTCGACTAGCTTTTGCCAACTTGAGTCATTTATGGCGTAGGCGAGATATCCGTCTATCAACCAAAGGACGTGTTTACTGCGCAGCAGTTCGTTCCGTCCTACTTTATGGCAGTGAAACATGGCCGGTAAGAGTAGAGGATATCCGTAGGTTACTAGTATTTGATCATAGGTGTCTTCGAAACATTGCTCATATATCATGGGACCATCGAGTAAGTAACACAGTTGTTAGGAAACGGGTACTAGGTAAGGATGGCAAATCGATTGATGAAGTAGTGAAACTTCATCAGTTGAGATGGCTGGGACACGTGTTACGTATGCCCAACGACCGACTGCCTCGACGTGCTATGTTCAGTGGTATAGGAGTAGGTTGGAAGAAAGCTAGGGGCGGCCAAACCAAAACATGGCACAAGTCCATGAAGTCACTGACAAGTGAACTGAGTCATGTTGGTAGGTGTAGACTACCTGGTTGGGGACCGCGAGATGACAGCAACCGATGGTTAGAGACCCTGAATGACATGGCTCAAAATCGTTTGCAATGGCGCAGGTGCATCCACTCTCTGTGTTCTCCCAAATTCTAATCTTCTGGATTCTTCATGTCCCTTTTTTCCTCTTTCCAAATTTATTTCACTGGATTATACTCTCTGAATAACATCTCCAAACCCTAATCTTCCCGATTACTGCTTATACTCTTATTACCTCTACCACTACGGGACTTGAATCGACAAATGCATCTCTGTGCTAATGTGGTGTGGCAACTCGAACTGATGTACGTACGTACGAAGTTCTACGTTGTGACTGACTGACTGACTGAAGGGGTTTTGTGGATATTATGGTAATTTAAATAGCTGAGATCATGAGTCGATTGACATTAATATACTTTTTGTTGACTTATTTTCAGTACTAAGTTGAATATATGATAAACTTCAACGTAGTGGATTTTAGTAGAGTTAAAAATTATGTAAAAATATGTATGGTTCTCCATGCAATTATTAAAACGGGAGATTTTCATACTGCAGATAGTTTGTATTTATAAAAGTGGAAGAGGAACGGAACCTCCCAAGCGTTACTCGCGAATGTTGGGATAACCGAGAGAGAAATGATATGATTAAAAAAGGCACTAAGCACATATGATAAACAGGTTGAGGAGATAATGAATCTTTATCCGCTTAAGTGGCTGGGACATGTTACGCATTTTTAAACACCATCTACGCCGACAAGTGATAACAGCTGGTATAAAAGCAAGTTAGAAGAAAGCTATGGGCAGTCATGGAACCATTTGCAGTTAGACTAAACCGAATCAGAATATGCATACTATCTGATTGAGGTTTTTAAGCTTATCGTAACCAATTATTGGAGTTGGGTAACATAGCTCAGAACAGGTCCCAATGGCGTAGGTTAACTCACACTATCTTCCTTTAGATCCCGATTTCCGAAACCGTTTTATTTTTTACGGTAGCTATCCATACCTTCTCGAAGCATAGAACCCGTCTGATTTTTCATACTATCACTGATATTATTGCCACATATACTACTATGGGATTTCACTCTGCTGAAGTAGCGTGGACGTAGTATTCTGTTGTTAGTTCAGAAAAGTCTTAGAGCTTTTGATTTCTCTTACACCTAAATGACCTTTCCAATCGGCTGTTTTTGGTCCTATGCATCCACGATACCAATATATAAAGACTGCTACGAAAAGGTGACAGTAAAGTCCCTTGCTGATTCAAATACGTCCGAAAACCTATAATCAACTTTACGATAGAAGCAACCAGTAAAGTCGTTTGTCTCAACACACCACAAATTTAACATACGTATTCAACAAAAGCTTCAACCAGCTGAGGTTCCGATACCCAGGATTAGCACATATGTTCCCGTTTCCTGTCGCTAACAGAACAAAGCTGAATGAAGGTAAAATTTGTTCATACATATATATCAATAGGCGCACGACATTACATACGACTTTTTACTGAATTTCAATGGACTAATAAAACTGATGCCTGCTTACTAAGTGCAGATATACCAATTACAGAAGTGCTTCAAGAGATCTCGAGTTTTATGATAAGACCATGTAGCTTTTAGTAGTTGCTGACGGAGTAGCAAAGGTCTTTGGTTATATTTGACGGGACTCAAAAGAAATTGACCGGACTATATCGGAGAACAGTAAGGTATAGGCGTAGTACTTGCTATTCAACATACAAGAGAAATTCAAGAATAGAGGTTTATGTGATATCTACATAACCTTTTGCGTTCAAATTAAACATAAGGAAACTCGTCATAATCACCAACTGGTGCCTTTATGTGTTGATTAAAAACACTAAGACGATGACCATAAAACAAGTGATTCTGGGAAAGCATATGATCTATGAATATATTACCGAAGCTTTACATTATATATTCGCTCTTCTTCATTATATATTACGATATAACATATTTCGAGTAAATTGTTACCATCAGGAGGCTCATGATCGACTTTAAATGCAGGAAATTAAGTACCTATTGGGAAATGTGAATTTTTGGGAGGAAATAGTCCATTCTCAGAGAAGACCTAATCTAAAGGACCTCTCTTTAAGATCACTTTTCCTGTTTTATGTGTGAAAAGGTGATTTCCGTCTGATTATTAAATCACCCTTGAGTCTCCTTTATTTCATGATACAAACGCAGAATTTCGTTGTGTTACTGCTATGTTTATGAATACTTACCACTGATTTCTAAACTTAAAGCAGTTATAATTACGCGAAAACGTCCAACGATCAATTAAATTCTTCTGTTTACAGAGGTGCCAGGGTTATTTGCGCCACGCAGAATCTTTGAATTATCAACAAATGCTCTTCAAATGGCAATTATGTAAATAACGTGCTTAACAACCTGAAATATGTGTCTTAATGAAGCCTGACGACTTTATTTACACACAATAAAAGTGTGAAGCCTTGTTGGGTATTTTACTTTGGGGCAACGTCATATCAGAGCGTTCTCATGAACCCAGCTCTGGGTTCGAATGAGACCATAAAGGTTGAATATGCCACATGTATTCGGAGTTTGACAACGCTTTGACCAGTATTACCTTCTAATATGAATCGTACCCACCAAGTGAAATCAAAAGACAGAAGCGAGGAGGTTCGAAGATATATTTGATGGACTATCAATGTATCGAGGATCGTCTGATCTAACCTGGCTAGCGATTGCACGGGTAACGAGTATGTGGATGTAGGCATTATCACAAAAAAAAGAGACAGCGCGCTGAGTAAAAGAAATTTCTTATAGAAAGTACTAAGGTATGTGAATCTACGATTCCAGTTATGGATCCATAAGTCAACGCAAATCAAACTAGGGGGGAGCGAAGTCCAAGCGGTGTAGAGGATATGGCCAAGAGAAAAATAAGGTAAATGAAAGATTCACAGTCACAACTAGGAAAACAAAAGTAAGAAAATAGAATGTGACGTCTGCGTTTAACTCTAAATCGGAGTCGGATTAAAGGAAAGAGACGATTTCAGGAACTATAATTATACAACGTGTTAAGATGGACCTCGCTGAGAGGATGATCAGGAAAAAACGAAAGCCATGGAAAACTTTTTGGGGCAGTTTCCACTCAGGAACTTCTTTTAGACGAAGAACTTAACCCAAACACGAAGTCAACAAGCTGTCTATTCACTGTGTACACAAGGCATGAGTGGATGAACAACGGACGAATGGAGGTGGTTCAGGAAGAAGCTGAAAGTACAGAGTTATGTGAAGTTTGAAAATATAGTACTGCAAACAGTATTCTGATACACAAATGGCTGTCTCTATCTTATGTCAAAGCTATTTGAGCCCATTTTTTGTAGACTGTATAGGGTATTGGGTAGGTTTCGTTTTTAGCAAGTTGTCTAGTTTGGCTAGTAACAGTAATACTCGGTACGAAGTGAAACCATTTCAGCGTTGTAAACACGGTTTATTGAGGTATTTCGCATAATAAATCAGCATCAAGACCATTTGTTCATGACATTCCACTAGACCATAAGGAGCCGTAATTAAACAAAATGTTCTGCCCCACAGACATGGGTGAATCGAATTTATCTCCTCACCATCATGTTCGCTGGTCAGTAACACCACCCTCCCTCCTTTTGTGATGTTAGGCCCTCTTAAGTTTGTGGTGAGTATGCATATTGCTTTATTCTAAGCACCTTATTGGAATACCCTGTCTCTACTAGTTTCATGATACAGGCAAATCAGATAGTTAAAGCAATTGTATTATGGGTTAAGCATCCATTTCGTATATCACACTGCTATGAAGATAACTAAGGGCAAAAGTTAAAAAAACACAGGTTACATTATATGTGGTTTAAAAATGGTAAGGACTAATAGCAAGTCAAAGGATATGAAAGAGCATAAGATGGTAAAATTTTCAGGGTAAGAAAAATAGCACATTGAGTAACTCACAAGAATTTAGGACAGTATGAACTTCTTATGATCGGCCATAGTTGATCAGCATCCATAAGATTAGTGAGTTATCTGTCTACTTGCAACAGAGAAAAAGTACATGACACTTAGGAAGAATAATGTATCTTAAACCATTGGAAAGATTCGGAATCTGAAAGTGAGGGTTAGGAGCATAAGACTGTGATTAATAATCAATGAATAATAAAAGAGGATAAACCATATATTCTGTATTTTAGTTGTATTCATATTAATAACAATATGGCTCGTTATCTTCTTGTTCGTCTAGATATTAGACGGTCCACAATAAAGTGCCTCATTGATAGGCGGGAGTTCAGGGAATAGTTGAGGCTCATTAGAGTCTAGTAAAAGGGTTATTAACCTTTTGAATTTAATAAACTTTCACAGTTACGGATAGGTATTGACAACCTGTTCCACAATAAACTATACCGCACTGTAAAAAAATTTACAACGCATTTGTTTTTGGTGTTTTACTTTAAGCAGTTTACATGATATATTTTAACTGTCAAACAAATACATCATAAAACATTTAGAATACTTAGGAATTTGTTCTAGACTAGCGTTAATGCACACATCTATGCTACTGGAATAATACAAATAATCCAGTATTCTGAAATTGCGATAATATGGCTGCCGAACGTATAGTATATTAAGCTTGAGTAACATGTTGCATGTACTGACATGCCCTGGCTGACTTGTTAGTCAGTAAGGGACTTTTCAGAGAACCAATGTAGCATACATTGAAGGTGGTAACAAAATGATATATCTAATATATAGAGCAACTGGTTTCAAAGAAAGTGTTATAACTTGTCGTTTTAATGCTTATTTTCTTGTTTTACGGTAAGTACACCTACTCGTGTATTGTATGTGGTATTCATATTAGAGAACATAAAAGATCAGTATTTAAGCGAAGTTGGTACACATAATTTGTAGAGAGTAAGCTTAGCCTTTGTTGTGAAGAAATTTTTCGTTATGAAACCAATTAGCCGTCCAGATTTAGAAATAATTGAGGAGGCATGTTCTCCAAAGTTCAGGCTTCCTGTATAATTAATTCTTAGATTGTGTACTGATTTGTGTGTCTGGACTCTACTGTTACTTAAGTTGCAGTTCATAGGGATGCTTTATAAAGTGTATGATTACGCACTTGTTGAGGTTAAATGGTAGTTGCCATTTTTCACTCCAGATAGTTAAGTTACTAAGGTCATTTTGAATTAGGCATACACCTTCACTTAGAGTCTCAGGCTTATAGCTGTATACTATTTTGAGATCATCAGTATATAATTATGGTTTCCCAAATTTTATGTTGTTACATATATCGTTCATATACATAAGAAAGTAGAGTGGACCTAATATGTTTCCCTGGATGACTCCACTACTTATTGGTCTAGGTGTTGAGAGACGGTCATTGTACTTTACCATCTGTTTACGTTGTGTTAAGAACGAAGCAAACCATGAGTATAGTGGATTGTTTATTCCGAAGGACTTTAGTTTGACGAGAATCCCTTTGGAAAAGAAGGCTTAGGTCCAATTTGATTCTCTATTTCAAACTCCTTAAAAACTTAACATATTCCGCTTTTGCCCAAGACACATAAATACGACCTTCGAGACAAAGTATCCACTGTCAAAGTTGAGAAATACAGATTAAGATCTTGGGAAAACTTCTTCCTCATCAAGTATGTATTGATATGAAACAGTCTTCCCTCTGAAATACACATGGCAGGTGAATTACATTCGTTTGTAAGATATATTGATCAAGCCCTCACTTGCACAGATCTAGCACAAACGAACACATCTGCGTCCCACTCAGATATTATAGACTCTCTACCTGTATAGACCAAACTGCCTTATTTTCCTGCTTTGTAGTTGTATTAGACACTTTTTCCTCCCTAATTTTTTCACTTGGAGTAGACAGGTAACTCACTGGACCTATCGACTTTCGGTCGCTAAGAGACGCTCACTACTACCATGAAAAGCCAAAGAACCGCACAATCGACTGCCTACTACCAGTGGTCTTGCATCCATAGAACCTATTACCAATCAACCGTTTAGGATAGAACAAAATATCATCAACACCAAGTTGTTGTGATTTCCTTCTCTTCTGTTCTTTATCAGCTTTTTACTCTCCTGTGCGCTATGTTGACTTGCCATTATTATTATTTCATCACTCGTTACCTTTTCTATAACTCATGTATTTCTGTACTTTTCCGCCTACTTCGGTAAACAACTATCCTACAATATACCCTTCTTATAGCCTATACTCTGATGAACAACGTATACTTTATACTATTGTCAATTAATGCATTGCATCGATGACTTACCCACAGTCCATAACTTTTAACTGCCTGATAAGCTTGTGAAACGGCACTTATAGAAATAGTGTTTTTCAACAGGATGTGAAACACAGAGGATTATGTGAGGTATGACATATATCCAAAAATAAGCCTAAATGAGCCTAACATAACAAAAGGAGGAAGGATGGAGTTACTGGCCAGCAAGCATTGATGGTGAAGGCGATGACTTCAATCCATCCGTGTTTGTGGGGCAGAACATTTTGTATGTATCAGGCTCCTTATGTTTGAGAACAAGTCAATCAACCCATGATATTGAGGTTGTTCTCCTACTCTCACCATTCAGACTTATGTTTCCAATTTTATACTGGATTAACTATTCTACTAAGACAACCTATAACATGCTAACTTGGACTTTTAGATTAAGACTGTGTGGCAGACATCGGATGAAAAAAAATCAGATAATAAAAGACGTGGTTATTGGTATTCTTAACACTTTACTCTCCATATGCGCTCTCTGTTCTAATAAACAGCCTTCCTTATTCCAACCCTTACTTCCCTCCCTTCATTTGAACTTGCTCCACCTTAGTAAATATCACAACTGATTGTTCTTTATTACTGCATTCTCTCATCTGGAGCCTCTGACCGCATTTCACTTTAGCTACAAGAGCTAGTATGAATTTAATCTAATAATTTATCTGTCTGTTCCACCACAAAATGTTAGGTATTGTATATCGTACATGTCCAAGTGCCTTGCTGCTCCTCGGTTTCTCTTCTCTTTTTCAGAATCTTGCTCTTAGGACACAGCTATGGAACTTCTGACATCTGGAGCAATTTAGACAGACGTGTTTTCCCAAGGTCATGGTTTACACCAAGCGCTCTATAAGTCTGCTTTATAACAACTATAAACGCAAAAAGTTGCATTGGATGAATACTTAGCACGACCAAAATCCTAACACAATACCGAGGAGATTGGATCTCGTAACGTAGACGCGATGCCACTTTGAAGAATATTTTGATGATCACTCAGTATATCTGATGGAATGACCTGATATTTACTTTTATAGACCATATTAATTTAACATGCATTTTGTGAAAGAATAAATGTTGTATTTTATAGATCATACTTGTAAAAAATAGCGTGTACCTGCCACTGAAGCAATATTTTGCTATTATTAATACTACCGCCGCCTTAACTACTTTATCCATCACTCTAGATATCACTGAAGTTATGTTTATGGGCCGGTAATTTTCAATATTTCCTTCAGGTCCTGTTTTATTTTTGGGAATGACATATATAGTTCTTCAGGCAGTAGGGTAACACGCTGTAGAGTGATATCGCAAATAATTTGAGAAGCAAAACACACATGTCATCACCTCCACGTTTTAGCATGCTAGCTGGAATACCATCTGGTCCATCAGTGTAGGAGTGTTTTAATTGCCTTAGAGATAGTTTGTACATTGGAGTCTACATTAGTAGTTTCACATGGAGGTATTGAGATTAGTTCCAAATCATTTAGTTGTTTTTCATTATTTAGAAATAAAAGTGTTCACTAAATAGTTCAGTAACAAGTTTAGGATCTTCGTATACTTGTTTGTCTTTAATAAGTATGTTCCCTCACGACTTAGAACGTTTAAGTTCATTCTGAAAGAGTATGGTGAGTGCAGAGGAGTTATTGTTAAGTTCGATAACATGGTTTTCTTGTGGGACTGTTCTTTTGTATGTATTGCCTCTATTCGGGCAAATATTTCTGTCATCGTTACTCAAGAGAAGTCGTTAAAGTTGTGGAATCGAGTACAATGTCTTTGAAGACGTCTTCATGTACCGACCGGTATATACAGATCTCTAGAGAACTTAGGTCTCCGAAATTCTAAAGGTGCGATTTTGTTGATGATACTTCTGATGTTGTGATAAAATATATTGGTTCGTGTGTTGATAATGTTTTCAGAAAAGAAAGTTCCCCAACCAGTGCTTCTTAGGTAATTATTGAAGTTATTCCAATCAACCTTGCGATAGTTTCTACGAAGTGTTACGGTTTTACGTCTACCTGTTGTGGTTTTTATATTAAGGCTACATATGACAATGTTATAATCACTGTCTAAAAGCTTTTTTCCAATATACACAGTATTGGGGGTGAGGCCACTGATAAAGTCTAAGTCCAAGATGTTTTGATGTCTGGTAGGACTATTGACATATTGAGTCCGCTACCCAAGCTCTAGACATTCAATAAATGATTCATAAAGTTTCGGCACTCTGACTGGGAACCAAGAAATTTCGGGCATGTTGAAGTCACCACAAATAAGCTTGCCTGTGAATGGAAGGGATGATGCTGGTGTGAATTCCTCCGATAATACTGCTATTTATCTTATTGATGCATTAGGTTGACGGTAGACACAGCCAAACAGTAAGGTAACGGAATTCGATGGCTTTAAAACAATCCACACCGAATACTCCAGATTGTTTAATTCAGGTATATCACATTATAGTGAGTTCAGGCTAGAGTGAGCGTAAATAAGGCACCCGCCGCCTCGTTCTTTCAATCTATCACTTCTATATAGGAAATATTTATCAAAAGATATACTTATGTCCATGCTTCAGATATCATTATGAACGATGGTTGATATATGGATACGTCTTTTTATTACGGATCGACCTAACGTTGATAAGACATATATTAAACAAATAGCCTACTAAGTTAAAATGAGTGAGAGAATCTCGAATAAAGGTGTCGTAGCCCTCACAGGTGTGATATGTGTTAAAAGTGAGGTATTTTCATAACAAGAATCAGTGGGAGATGTAGCAAATGAGTTGGTGAAGTTGATTAGGTAGTTTACCCAGGAGGAAAGTGTGGGAGTACTATCTGATGGAGAATGTACGGGGGAAGCAAGTTTATGAGATGGTGGAGAAGATTTGTAGCTCAGGGGGATGATTTTGGTGGAGTTTTGTTCTCTGAGCTGGATGGTTTGGTCGTTGAGCTTACATCGTTCTTCTGAACGACATCATCAGCACAAACTTCAGATAGAAGTAAAGTGTTCGAATTTCTCCATATTTGTTTCACAGCTTGTTCTGTGCACCTCGATGTTGATTGGTTCTTATTGACCTTAAATTTATCATTGTTTACTTCTTTGTTTTGGTTGTGTCTCCCATTGGTTTGATTTTTGTTCCTATATTTATGCATGATTTTCCTGATTGGTTGATGAATTGAATTGATTTCAATATGTTTGTTGATTGCTGATTGACCTGAGTGCCAGGCTTCTAAAAATTCTAAACCAAGGGATGAAATAACAAAGGAAAACAAGTCAAACATCATCTACAAAATAAATTGTACCAACTGCGACAAACACTACGTCGGACAAAGCCGGTGCCACCTCCACCTTCGCCTACATGAACATCAATTAGCAGTCAAACGCCATGATATCTCTTCACTTATATCAATACACGTGAATAACTACGGACACTCATTCGATTGGAAAAATGTAGAAATCTGCGTGTAAAAAGGATTGCTACGCTCAAACCTACTACCCGTTCCGCAACTTAGAGGTGTTGGAGGTAATTTATATGATACCAGCGGGTAGAACCTGTTCACTGTTGTTGGGATACTTATAGAGCAGTTGGGTTTAATCTTACGTGTTTCCCTATTCCGTGTCGTGAGTCTTGTCTTCGTACCTTTTTTTGTCAGGACCGGAGACTTTCGTTGTCTCTGTGAGATGAATTTATATCCATTTGAGTCAACTTGTGGAGCATCTTTAGGAGGACTGATTTTTAAGTGTATATGTTTAGTTGGATGTGCGTTGCCTCACGGTACTTATTTTAGTACTTTACTAAGCGAACAGCCGGGATTGAACACGTCATTATGTTTTTTGGTGAAAGTTGGAGTCCGTATTCTATCCAAAGATTTCTGATCAGCAGAATGACCTGCCATTAAATAGGAATAATATATATTTGTGAAATCTCAGCGATTTCACAAATATATATAATTCCTATTTTATGACTCACATTAACTCGGCGCACAAATATTGTGAAACTATTCGTTCAAATTTAGACGAAAGTTCTTATTTATTAGACTGACCTGCCGTTTGTTTAGTGGTGTCATGCTTATTGTTCATGTGCTTTAACCCATTTACTGTGTTGCAAACTCTCTAGCTGGTTGTTTACCGTAACAATATCATGCAATCCTATCGCTTCACGTCTCCTAACACGACGTTGTCAGGGCGTAAGGTCTGGAGTGACTTTTATGTTTCTGTATGGAATTAATCAGCTAATATTTTAGCTCGAATCAATCAACTGCTTAACATCGTTACAACAGCCAAACTTAAACAGGAGGTGGCATATTGATCTGTCTGATTTTTTTCTAAAGGAGATGACTATTGAGTTAAGGCAAATATCCCTTAACTTAGATGGGCGTGTGAGGCCGGGGAGGTTATACGCAACTGCAATGAAGGAGGACATCACTCTTTTCGTCATTTCTTCAGCCACAAACTCCAAAATACATTCAGGTTTAGTGAGTTGCTCAGGATTTCTATCAGTATCGAGGCTTCATATATGTGTGAGGGGTGCTAGTTGGTTAAATCTGTCGTTAATTTCGGTCAAAGAGTTTTGTAGCTGACGGGTGTAAGTACTATATCAAGCAGTATTTTATTATGTATGAGACGAACTATTAGACTCTATAGCCTTTGAAATTTTAGATTTAGGCCTTAGTAATACATGCTGTATGGTAGACTGTGCTGACTTTTCGACGCACGTGGGTATGGTGCCTTGTTTGTCAACCAGTTTTACTGCATACTGCACGGGGAGATAGAGGGGTTGTAACATGGAAAACCAGGTCACGGTGGTGATATTTGTGGATAAGACACATGCTGTTCAGTAGATAAAGTTTCGACATTGTCAGGTACTGAATCGCTACAGATATGGACCTTTTTATTTAGAAGATGGTGAAACTACTCTTTTATTAGAGTTATTGGCCATGATTGGAAGCTGGGTGAGTAGAGAGCTCATTAAACTAGATATAATATCTGAGTATATATTTGTTATTAAGCGTTA